CATCTAGCTTATTCGGTTTCTGCTCACAACAGTCGTTCATTTTAACGTAAAAATCGCTTCTTCCGTTAAAAACAAACCACAATTAAAACACACACAACGTAAACCGCATTCTTTCTCTCGATTACCGTATTTTCCACAAAGTATGTGTTATGGATAACATCAAACCAGATTTGATAAGATATGACGTACTAATCATAGCAGTGCAATATTAGCAAGGCAGTTTTTAAATTGCCGTTTAAACAGCTATAATCAAGATTGGAACTTTCTACATTCAATACCTACATGTTTCAGAATACTGCGATTACCTGCATTGTCCCTCGTTTTTTCTACTTAGTAGAAATGAGTGATTTTTATTAAAACGAACATATTTTTGTCAAGAATTCCTATATTTATGATTAATTGCACTAAATATAGAATCTACTTGTTTTACAATTGAAAATCACTTGGTCTTGTATCTAGCAAAGTCTAACGCCGACATTCCGTTAATTGTCTCGGGGGTGGCGCCCTTTTCTAGTAGTAGTTCCACAGTACTGACGTGACCTTCCGAAGCTGCCCAACGCAGAGGTGTTCCGAAGTAGTGGTCCGGCTTATCAACGTCAGCTCCGTTTTCTAAGAGAATCTCAACGATTTTATTGTGCCCATTCTGTGCAGCGAAATGTAAAGGCATAGCTCCAGCTATGGATTCTTCGAAAATCAATCTGTCACATTTGTTCACCAGTAACTCGACCATCTTTAAATGCCCACGTTTTGCCGCCCAGTGAAGGCTATTAATCCCATCACCATCGGAGATATCAACGTCAACATTATTTTTCCAAAGCAACTCGAAAATTTCCCAACGACCGAACTTGACACAATAGTCTAAACAACTTCGTCCCTTCTCATCACGTTCATTTATAGAAGCTTTTTTCTCCAATAAGTACTCACAAAAGGCAACATTACCATTTTTTATGGCGAAATGTAAACTTGTGCGACCGTCAGTACACCAGTCATCAACATCTTTAAATCTCTCCAATACCATGTCTAGTACTTCAAGGTTTGACTGTCTGGCTGCCAAATGTAATGGTTTCATACCATAGTCATCTACACCATCAACACTGACGTCTTTCTCCAGCAAGAACCGAACGACGTTTACATTTCCTTGCATGATGCCTAACTCAAGTGGACCCCATCCATTCCAAGCTTTCTTGGTAACATTAGCATGAGCTTCATCCACTAAGTACTTAATCACCTCTTCGTGCCCATTTTCCACAGCAAAATACAAAGGTGTTCGACCAAACTTATCCACACAATCAAGAGTTGCTTCATGTTTCAAAAGCGTTTCAACAGTTTGAAGTTGTCCATTAAGAGCGGCTAGATGAAGAGGTGTCCGACCATACTCATCGACATCATTAACCTGCGCTCCTTTGGAGAGAAGGAACATCACCAGTTCCAGATGAGCCATGGCACAAGCTTGATGCAAAATCGTTTTTCCACGTTCGGTGTCAATTTGAATATCAACTTTGTAATCCATCATGATGTTAACAATTTCGAAGTTGTTGAAGCAAGCAGCACTGTGAAGAATTTGGGTCGTATCTTCGGGTTTAGGTTGTGTAATTTCAAACAAGACTTTGAAGAGGTGGCGATAGGAAAAGATGGCACTACAGATTAGAATGTTGAGGGGTTTATGTCTTGTTTGGTCTAAATTGAGTATTTTGTCCTTCATTCCGATTTTTGGGTCGGTGCGTTCCAAAATTACGTCGAAAGGAAGAATCGATAGTGTGGTTTCTGCGAAGTTTAGACTGTTCCATTGGTAGACGGAGTCTTTTGATAGTAGATCGACTTGGTGTTCCATTAAGAATTCTATTATTTTCCGGAATTCGTCATCCTTTTTTCTCAGTTTGTGGAAATGGTCATTACTTTGGTGTTCGTTTTTTAGGTTGTCTTCAATGATGACGCGTGTGACACCATAGGAGCAAGCAAGGTGTAAAGTAGAACGACCTCCTTTGTCTACAGAGTGGATGTCACTTGCGTACTTCTTCAATGTTTCTATGTTTTTGTACAAAACGGCTACGTGGGCTGGAGAGTTTTCAGCAAGAATCAAGTCAAACAATAGTCGCAAGTGGGTTTGTTCTTTTTTGAAAAGCGTAGCTTGTAGAAATTCCCCATATTTGGAATAGTTCTCGGCAAGGTATAACGCCACGAAATATGTGGCAGTCATGCTATGATGAAAAACCACCGCGTCAGCGTTAATCTTCAAAATGATTCCGAGAAAGTCTCCTTCTGTTTCTATTTCCTCAAGAAACGAGCTATCCAAATCGATATTAAAAACCTGGAATTCTTGTCTCGTAAAATAGGATTTGAAGGCGGCAATCTGATACTGTTTGAAACGATGCCTGAGACTGTCACTAAGAATTTTTGTTAGCAGTTTCCTGTGTTCCCAGTCGTTTTTTCTCATAAAGTGCCGATATCTTCCGATACAAAAATTCCGAAACATCTTCGTCAAGACAAAAATATTGTCGCTTATATCCGGCGACTCCTTCAGAATTTCTGTGATCATGTAAAGTTGCATTGGAACGTCTAAAACGACTCTATTTTCCACAATAGTATCAATATTCTTAAAAATCCCACTCACTAACACGTCAACATTTGGACTTTGCTTCAACCGCTCCCTAATATAGTCCTCTTGATTTTTATCACTAAACTCTTGAATGTTCCTACAAAGAACATTCAGTTTGTTCTCGATGAGCTCTTCCAGGTGAGGTCTAGATGTCAACCAAAGAGTAAAACCCATTTCGGACAACCGCTTTACGTGATCTAAAGCAACGTCGATGTTTTCGTGCTCTAGTTCGTCCAACCCGTCCAAAAAGAACATGATTTTCCTTCTCTCAGCAAAATTTTTCTTAATCTCCGACCAAAACAAATCGTCGTTTGTGTCAAACAAAAAATGTTCGAGTGTTTCCTCGTCTTCGTGTACATTATCGAAGAAGTCATTGTGTTCTTTTAAATTAACTAAAACTGGGAAAAATTTCGATGGCCAGAAGCTTTTGAATTTCTTCAAAATTTCGGACTTTCCCATTCCAGCAGGAGCCGTGATGACGTTAATCCGATTATTACATTGCTGCAAAGTTGTGTACTCATCTACGAATATTTCTTTGGAAACTCCACACTTTTTCACCGGTTTGAGGCTACCACTGCTTGCTAACCATTGCAGACGTTGTTCATCGTGCGCTTCGAAAAAGTGGACGTTCATTGATGGATACTTCTTCGCGACTTTCTCAAAATTGTCGAAAGACTCGAATGCATCCCAAAGAATGTGGGGAGTTGATGGTGGTGACTCAAGGTATCTCCATGTTACCTCGGAAGGTAAACCTAAGCGTTTTTCCAACAACTCTTTAACCTTCCACTTTATACGAAGACTGATAACGAGAAGATCGTTACGAAATTTGTCCATACACTCGATTTTGACCAGCGTCTTCGACAAAAATCTTGGTATGTACGGTTCGGGTAAAACTTCTTTATGTATACTCAAGAGAAAAGTACTTGACAACATCCGAAAAATGTCCTTTATCGTCATCTGCCTTGCGATTTCTTCTTTGTCAAAAAATTCACAATAAAAATATTTCTCTCCAAGTAGGAAAATCTTCATTTCCTTGACCATTTCATCGTAGATCTCCTTGTCTAGCTTCATCAGGTCGTACAAGCTTTCAAGCACCGTAAAACTAGCTAATTTTTCTTTCACGACTTGTCTGTTTCCAGCGAAAATAAAATGGAAAGAATCTCCAGTCGTCTTAAACTTTGAAACCGTTGCAAAAATCATGTCTACATTCCCTTCGTGCACTTTAACGACAATTGGTTTCCCTTTTCGGTAATAACCAATCTTGTGCTTCACCACCATTTCGTGTTTAGAGTCCGAAAACTGGTTCTCGTTCTTCGTCAAAAACTTCAAATCTTTCGCCAAATGTATCACCTCTTCCTCCGATTCGAACTCTGGAGGGGAAACAATAGTTGCCAGTTCTTCATCGCTGAAGTCACTCGTTAACACAAAGTCGAATTTGGCAAACCCTCTTTCTAGTAAAGCTAAATCTTCGTTCCAATTGGACGGTGCTACCACGTGAGGTGTCAAAATCAAATCCAGAATCTTGATCACCACCTCTTCTCTGTTTAGTTCGACGTTTGTGTACTCGTTCAGCTTCCAGTTTCTGAAATAATCGATATATTCTAAAGCTGCTGATCGATCCGACGTACGAAAAATCCTCTGGAAATTCTCGAGGACCGCTTCTTGGACTTCGCGCCAATTCTGCTGAGACGTGTAAAGCGCAAACCTTTCCAAAAAACTCTCGTAGGTTTGTTTGGTCGCCAAACTCGTGGTCTTGGTCTTGGTGTTCGAACGAAAATTGTAAATTCTTGCGTTGTCGGACGAAGGCTTGTAGAAATATTTTTTCCCAGGGGAGTTATCGCAGCAGTTTATGTCAAAACAAGCGACTTCGTTCATTTCTTCTGAATTAAAATACGCGTTGGTGTAAGTAACGAAGGAGTACTTTTCCCTTTCTTCGATTCCGCTGAATTCTTCACAGTACTTTAAAACAGCGAAGTCGTTTTGGGTTTCGGATTCTAAGCATGTGGGGCTTAAGACGCAGTTTTGTTTTTCTTTGTGTTTGACTTGGAAGGCGTAATTTTCTTCTTCGTCGGTTTTGTACAGGGTGATGATAAGATCGCCAAAAGAAGCGAATTTTTGCACATTGCTTCTAAGAACGAAGTTTATGATGGTGTCATCTTCGAGAAAGAAGAGGGTGAACAGAGCTGGGAGGAGGATTTCGTACTCCTGGTCTTCATGATTTGTCGTTTTTTGAGGTGTCTGCAGATAAGAGATAAATTTTGTATCTACGAAGGTCAATCAATTTCACTACAGATAACAGGTGCCAACACTGATACAATGTATTGATTGCACCACATACAACTAATTACAGCATTAATGTTTCAGCTGTTGTCGTAACCGTTTTTTTTTTTCGTGTCAAACTTACTCTTCGCTCGCTCGATTTCCGTTCACAATTATCCATTTTGACGAAAAAATCGCATCTTCGACCAACAACAAACCACGATTAAAAACACGCAACCTGAACAGAGAACACCGTAATAGACAGTTTTGATAAGATATGACGCAATCATCGCAGTGCGAATTTTTTAAGCTCGCGTTGAAACACATGACGGATTTACCACCCGATGAACACAAACGTGATTGGAACTTTCTAAATTTAATACATATTTCACAATAACGCGTATATACATTCTCTCGGCGTGCCGGCATTGAAAATTCTCGTCGAATCGTGTTGTCGCATTTGTAATTGAGGGAAAGATCACCGAACCGATTATTCGTAGGAAAACTCGGAATTGTTATTGTTTCATCTTATTCCACACCATCTGCCACAATCCCTGCAGCCTATCATTTTCCTTTCAATTTATCTTGTCCTGGCGTAACCCGCGGAAATTCCCATGTTAGCAATCTTTGCTGTGTCTAAGAGACATGCGGAGCACGATCTCGGAGGGGAGAACACTACATCTTTGGCGCTTGGAGGGTGGCCGGGGGTGGAGTGTTATTTTTCAGATTTATCGCGGTCCTTTGAACTTCATTTGTAACTTTTGACGTGCTTTTTACCGACGTTTCAAACAATTGTTATCAGATTCTTTAAATAAACACAAAATGGATTGCAGGAACGAGAAGGTCAAGCGTTAATCAGTTCTCGTTCGGACCTCGGTCCACCGCCAATTAATTGAATTGAAATTATCTCGAATGAAAATAATTCAGCTTAACCACAACACCAAACACCAATCGCATCCGCCCCCACTCCACGCCCCCGTCGCACTTGCAAATCAGCTCATTTGCAATTATCCTCTTGCATTCGCAATCTACAACCCCTTGACATTTCATCTCAAAGCTCTCAGCACAACGCCCGTAATGTTTACGAAATTTTATTTGCTCGTATAAAATTGGGCCCCTCGCGAGCTCCGCAGCAATCAAGGGCCCGAACGAAGACGTAAAATAAAAACGAAGAGCTCAGTAAAGAAAGCGAGTCCTGCTTCCGCAGACACGCCATTTATACGAATTAAGAAAAACAGAACAAACTCCCTTCGGCCTGCTTACGCTCTCGGACGATAACCATCCTTATCGCGGTTTCGGCTCGAATTAGGCCTTATCGTGGAACACGCGACTTTTACATAACGCAATTTTGGGGGAGGGGGCGGTAGCGACTCATTTCCCGGCCACAACACAAATTAAAACGACGAGCGGAAGCCATAAAGCGCCGCTGTGGGAATCGATACGAAAATATGGGCAAAAGTGTAAACTTGGGAGATTTGCCGAGGCGGAGGCTGGGGCCGAGCGCACGCCGAGGCGAGCAGATTTTTGGCTTGAGATAACTCCGAACCATTCGGATTTAACTAAACAAAAACTAGCACTCTTGAAATCTGGCCGGAATTAATGGCCATCCGTTTATTTGGCAAGTTTTCTGATACTTCGGTGCAATTTATCGCGCGAGTGGCTTATTTATTGCAAAATAAATTTTTAGGAACGCACCGCCCGAGTTATTTTTTATCAGATTAATGGCCTTAAACATATTACGTCTCGGATTTATTTCGCTGCGTTAAAAATAGTCTTTTGTATTCCAAATAATCCCGTCGGACTTCCGCGCAAGAATTCCTCGTGAGAATTTTCAGCTCGTTAGCCCGATCTGAAAAATTCTCGGGCTAATTTTCATTTAGATTTTTAATTGCCGTGCGAACTTTGAAAAATTCGCGATAAGTACATATCGTGAAATGTTCCCTCCGGAAGTCTCTTTTAATGCCCTGGAGCAATTAACGCTAGACTCCTGCTTATCCCGTCTTCTCCATACATCCACGCAATTAAATTTTCGATGCGATTGCCCCTCACTTCATGCATGGCGGCGCCCCAATCCCCCTCCCGAATTTCGCTCGCAAATCCAGAACAAATAAAATAAAATTCGCCGCATCAGCAGCCCTGATATCCGCTGGAAGGGTTCCCGAAATGGGATTACGTCTCCCGATAAAATTCCTCATTGTTTTATTGTGTAAAATGCAGGATTACGAGTGTACCGCCATCAAATTGGATGTTGCGGTTGACACGTCGTTGTGCCCTAAATAACCGCCCATTTGGGCTCGGAAGCCGGAGATCGCCAGAAAGCGACGAATCGATGGCAAATTGGCGGCGAGAATTAAAAGTGGTCGGTGTGGGAAGTGCGGAATAGCGGCGGGCCGAGTGCGGACCCCGGTTTTGTCGAACTTATTTATTTATTTACTTATTTTCTATACTTGGGATTTATCTTTACAATCATATTTCGATCGAAAATTTGAAAAAGCGAAAACCTGAAAAATCGCCAAATCTAAAAATCGAAAAATTTTAAAAATCTAAAATCAAAATGTCAAGAAATTGAAACATGAAAACTTTAAAAAATCGAAAGATTGAAAAATTGAAATTCGAAAAATCGAAACTTCGAAAAACCGCAAAAATGAATAATTCAAAAATCTAAAATTTAAAAATCGAAAAACGAAAACTCGAGAAATTAAAACTTGTAAGTTTAAAAAGTCGAAAAATTGAAAAATGGGATAATTGAAAATCGAAGAACTGGGAAATCGAAAAACCGAAAATCCGAAAAGTAAAAAATCGAAAAACTGAGAAATCGAAAAATCAAAAGATCGAGAAAAAACGAAATGTTAAAATTGGAAAACTGGAAGATCGAAAAATCTGAAAGCAAAAAAAACGGAAAAATGGAAAAACTGAGAAACCGAAATAAGGCAAAATAAAAAAATCGAAAAATTATAAATTCAAAGACTCATAAAGCGAGAAAACAAAAATATTGAAACATCGAAAAATTTAAAAAAGAAAGAAAATTTCAAAAAATGAAAAATTGAACAACAGAAAATCTAAAACCGGTAAGTCGAAATTCAAAATATTAAGGAATCGAAATATTTGACAAATTCGAAAAAGTAAAAAATCGATACATCAAAAAATCCAGGAGTCATAAATCGAAAAATTGAAAAAAAAAAAAACTGAAGAATGGAAAAACTGAAACGTCCAAAAACTGAGAAATTCGAAAATTGAGAATTCTAAAAATCAAAAAAGTGAAATCGAAAAATCCTAACCTTCAAAAAAATCGAAAAATTGAAAAATCAAAAATTTGAAAAATTGAAGAATTGGAAGCCAAGAAATGGGAAAACCAAAACATCGATTCATTGAAAAAATAAAAAAAAATGAGAATTTGGAAAAGTCAAGAAATAAAAAATTGAAAAATCGAAATATTTAAAAATCGTAAAATTTAAGAGAAAAATTAAAAAAACGTGAAACTGAGACATGGAATCCAAAAATTTTAAATCGAGAAATTGAAAAATTGAGAAATTGAAAAATCCCAAAACTGAAATTTCGAAAAATTTAAAAAATAAAACAGAGACTAATAAATCCCAAAACTGAAATAAGCAAAAATTGAGAAATTAATAAACTGAAAAATTGAGAAATCGAAAAATCAAAGAAGTGAAAAAAAAATTAAAAAAAAAACCTGAAAAATCGAAAAATTGAAAAAATGAAGAACTGGGAAACAGAAACATCGAATAATTGAAAAATCGAAAAATTGAAAGTTAATAAAGCGTAAAAAATTGAAAAATTGAATTGAAGAAATGACAAATCGAAAAACTGAGAGTTCATAAAAGTCAATCTTGAAAAATTGCAAAAACCAAATATTTAAAAATCGTGAAATAGAAGAGGATATTTAATTTTTCATTTATTCGGTCTTTCAATGTTACAATTTTTCGATTTTACAGTATCGACAATTTTATAATTTTTCAATTTTACACTTTTTGGGTTTTCCAATTTTTCAGTTCGGTTCGTTTTTTCTTCTTTCCAATTTTTCGATTCATTATTTTTTTTGTTTTTTTTTTCTCGTTTTTAGTTTTTCTAAGTTCCAATTTTTCGTTCTTCAGGTTGCAATTTTTCAATTTTCCGCTTTTTGGATTTTGCAATTTTCCGTTTTGTACGTAATACGATTTTTAAATTTTTCCGATGTTTGAGTTTTTCGAGTTTTATTTTCTCGATTTTTGAGTTTTTAGAAACAAAAATTGGAAAAATGCAAAACTGTAAAATTGAAAAATCAAAATGAAAAAACGAAAAATCATTGAATGAAAACTTTGAAAAATCTAAAAAACTGGAAATGAAGAACTTGAAAATTTAAGAACCGAAAAATTGAAAAATCGAAAGATTAAAAACTGAAAATCTCCAAAATTGAAAAACCGAAACATATATTGTAAAATCAAGATATTGAAAATTTTAAAAATCCCTAAAATTGTATAATTCAGAAATCCAAACGTTGCAAAATTTTCAAATTTTCCAGTTTTCGGCTTTCAAACTTTTGGATGTTTTAGCTTTTAGAATTTGCAATTACGCAATTTTTCAATTTTCAATTTTTTAATTTTTGGATTTACAAATTTGTTTCGGTTATTTTTTTCCTTTATTTTTTCAATTTTTCAATTTTTAGACTTTTAAATTTTTCGTTTTTTCAGTTTTAAATTAAGTTTCTCAGTTTTTCAATTTTTCGTTTCATTCGTTGTTGTCATTTTTTCAATTTATTTTACGATTTTAGAATTTTTCAATTTTTGATTTTAATTTTTCAATTTTTCACTTATTTAGTTTATCATTTCTTCAATTTTGCGATTTACAAATTTTCGTTTCGGAAATTTGTTTTCTTTATTTTTTTAATTTTTCGGTTTTTCTGTATCTTGATTTTTTCATTTTTCTTTCTTTTTCAATGTGAAAATTTTCAATTTGTAGATTTTCCAATTTTTCGGTTTTCAATTTTTCGATTTTTCAATTTTTCGTTTCATTCTTTGTGATTTTTCAATTTATTTTACGATTTTGGAATTTTTCAGTTTTTCATTTTAATTTTTCCATTTTCAATTTTTCAATTTTTCGTTTTTCTAGTTATTCTATCTTTCAATGTTACAGTTTTTCGACTTTACAATTTTAACAATTCCATCATTTTTAAATTTTAAAATTTTTGGGTTTTCCGATTTTTCGATTCGATTTTTCTTCTACTTCCAAGTTTTCAGATTTTAAAGTTCCCGTTTTTAGTTTTTTTAAGTTCGTCGATTTGCAATTTTCAGTTTTTTCAGATTTAGATTTTTTAAATTTTTTCTGATGTTTTAGTTTTTCGAGTTTTAATTTCTCGATGTTTGAGTTTTTCAATGAACAAATAAATAAATAAATAAATAAATAAATAAATAAATAAATAAATAAATAAATAAATAAATAAATAAATAAACAAATAAATAAATAAATAAATAAATAAATAAATAAATAAATAAATAAATAAATAAATAAATAAATAAATAAAAACTGGAAATGAAGAACTTGAAAATTTAAGAACCGAAAATTTGAAAAATCTAAAGAATAAAAATTGGAAAAACGTAAGGTTGAAACTTGAGAAATCAAAAAACTAAAAATCGTGAAGTTGAAAAATTGAGAAATTGTAAAATCGAAAAATCTAACAATAATTAAACTGAAAAATCCCAAAACTGAATTTTCGAAAAATTGAAAAATTAATGAAAAACTAATAAATTCCAAAACTGAAATATCAAAAAGTGAGAAATTAAAAAATTAAACAATTGAGAAATCGATTAATCAAAAAAGTGAAATCGAAAAATGGAAACCTTAAAAATAGAAAAATCAGAAACCTGAAAAATCGAAAAATTGATAAACTGAAAAATCAAGATATATAAAAATCGCAAATTTAAAGAGGAAAATTAAAAAAACGTAAAACTGAAACATCGAAAAATGAAAAGTCGAACAACTTAAAATCGAGAAATTGAAAAATTGAGAAATTTTAAAATCGAAAATTTGAATAATAAATAAATTGAAAAATTCCAAAACTGAAATTCGAAAATTGAAAAATAAAAGAAAAACTGATAAATCCCAAAATTGAAACATCAAAAAATTGAGAAAATAAAAAATCGAAAAATCAAAAAGTGAAATCGAATAATCGAAACCTTAAAATATAGAAAAATTAAAAAATCAAAAATCTAAAAAATCGAAAGATTCAAGAATTGAGGAACTGGAAAATCGAAATATCGAGGAATTGTAAAATCGAAAAATTGAGAGTTTATAAAAATCAAAAATTGAAAAATTGAAAAATCGAAATATTTAAAAATCGTAAAATTAAAGAGATAAATTAAAAAAAAAAACGTAAGATTCAAACATCGGAAAATTGAGAAATCGAAAACTAAAAATCGTGAAGTTGAAAAATTGAGAAATTGTAAAATCAAAAAATCTAACAATAATTAAACTGAAAAATCCCAAAACTGAATTTTCGAAAAATTGAAAAATGAATGAAAAACTGATAAATCCCAAAACTGAAATATCAAAAAAAGAGAAATTAAAAAATTAAAAAATTGAGAAATCGATAAATCAAAAAAGTGAAATCGAAAAATTGACACCTTAAAAATAGAAAAATCAAAAACCTGAAAAATCGAAAAATTGATAAACTGAAAAATCAAAATATTTAAAAATCGTAAATTTAAAGAGAAAAATTAAAAAAAAACGTAAAACTGAAACATCGAAAAATTGAAAAATCGGACAATTTTAAACCGAGAAATTGAAAAATTGGGAAATTTTAAAATCGAAAAATTGAATAATAAATAAACTGAAAAATCCCAAAACAAAAATTCGAAAAATTGATCCCAAAACTGAATCTCCAAAAATTGAGAAATTAAAAAATTGAAAAATCAAAAAGTGAAATCGAAAAATCGAAACCTTAAAATATAAAAAAATTGAAAAATCAAAAACCTGAAAAATCGAAAGATTCAAGAATTGAAGAACTGGAAAATCGAAACATCGACAAATTGAAGAATCGAAAAATTGAGAGTTTATCAAAATCAAAAATTAAAAAATTGAAAAATCGAAATATTTAAAAATCGTAAAATTAAAGAGAAAATTTAAAAAAACGTAAAACTGAAACATCAAAAAATTTAAAAATCCAACAATTTTAAATCGAGAAACTGAAACACTGAAAAATTTTAAAATCGAATAATAAATAAATTGAAAAATCCCAAAACTGCAATATCCAAAAATTGGGAAATTAAAAAATCGAAAAATCGAAACCTTAAAATATAGAAAAATTGAAAAATCAAAAGATTGAAGAATTGAAGAACTGGAAAATCGAAACATAGACAAATTGAAAAATAGAAAAATTGAGAGTTCATAAAAATCAAAAATTGAAAAATTGAAAAATCGAAATATTTAAAAATTGTAAAATCAAAGTGAAAAATTAAAAAAAAAAAACGTAAGAATGAAACATCGAAAAATTGAGTAATCAAACAATTTTAAATCATGAAATTGAAAAATTGAAAAATTGTAAAATCCAAAACCTGAAGAATCGAAAAATTGAAGAATTGAAGAACTGGAAAATCGAAACATCGATTAAAGGAAAAATCGAAAAATTGAGAGTTTATAAAAATCAAAAATTGAAAAATTGAAAAATCGTCAAATTTAAGAGAAAAATTAAAAAACGTAAAACTAAAACATCGAAAAATTGAGAAATCGAAAGTTTAAATTGAGAAATTGAAAAATTGAGAAATTGTAAAATCGAAAAACTGAATAATAAATAATCTAAAAAATCCCAAAACTGATTTCGAAAAATCGAAAATTGAAAGAAAAACGGATGAATGGACAAACTCAAAAACTTCAAAACTGAAAAATCAAAAAATTTTTAAAGTCAAATTTGAAAAATTGCAAAAACCAAATATTTAATAATCGTAAAATAGAAGACGAGAAAAACTGAAACATTGGAAAATCGAGAAATCGAAAAAGTAAAAATCGTGAAGTTGAGAAATTGAGAAATTGTAAAATCCAAAAATTAAATAATAAATAAACTGAAAAATCCCGAAACTAAAATTTCGAAAAATTCAAAACTACTACTTTTAAACCAAAACAGAGCTGCGGATGCTACGATGTTGCTGCCACCAGACCGAAATCAAAACTGAACAGAAAGGACCCAAAAACGTGACCTTTGCTCATGTAGCTCACGTGACAGTGACGTCATGATATGCCACGATAAGATATCCAAAATTATTTTTCATATTTTGGGGTTAATTTAACAACTTTTAAATAAACTGAATTGTTTTTAATAACTTCATATGTGTAGGAAAATGGTTTTCGCTTTAAACACGACATATTAAGAATATAATATGAGCTCTATTCTATAACAAATCAATAATAATATTAATACTTATCATATTTAAACATTATAAACAGTGTAAACGTATTAATTATGTTTAAATATTGTCTATTATGTCATGATAATATTTGTTTTTTCACGAACACGTGCTACTTTTAAGCCAAAACGGAGCTACGAAGGCTCCGATGTTGCTGCCACCAGACCGAAATCAAAACTGTTCACAAAAGAGCGAAAAACTTGACTTTTCGATTTAAGTATGATAATTTACAACAGTCTGTACAACATAGAAAAATAAATGGTTCTCATATATACTTCGTTAAATATTTACCACCCAAAAAAAGAAGAACTTACAAACTCATAAAAAGTCAAAAATTGGCAAAATCTTTTTTTTTTTTTAAAAGCTGGATGTGCTTCAGGGGCGAGAGAAATTCATTCGAAATAATTTTAAATAGCTCGTACGAAGAGGGTTTTCCCGAATTGGATGAATCACTGGCAGATGTTTCTAAGCTCACGTTGGTCATAATTTCGAGATTCCAAGTTTTATTAAAATTTCTTTCGAATTTTTGTGGGAAATATTTCCCGATGTGGGGGAGTTGCGAGCGAAGTTTAGTAATACCGCTTTCTTTTGCAGCCATAAAAGCGACTTTGTTGATACAGAAATGGTACAGGAGATATATGGCCAGATTGGAGGTTCGGCGCAGATATACATGGACGATATTCCAAAGCATAGAATACGCGGGAGAACAGGATCAAGTCAAAGTGAGTATAAAGAAAATTTGCTGGTTTTGTTTGCCTCCGGGATATGTATCAATCGCGACAAAGGCTGGTCCATTTTTAAACAACTATCCGGACGCTCTCTCCCCAAAAATTATATAGATATCGGGATAGCATCGAATCAATTTGGTCCTAAGTAGGGTCTCCAATTACGTTCAATGGACTCTAAGCGCATTATTCTCCGTCTCCCTCGCACTCTTTCAAGGAATTCTAGACGGGGAAGTTTGAGATTAGTTTCAGTCTATTAAGAAGTGAAACACTTTTCGTGTATTTTCGAATTGGAAATGCGTTTTAAATTTGCTTTAGAGCGGTGATAAATTATTGGCCGCAGCCGATTCAGAATCGATGCTTAAATAATGCCGCTTAATGGTTCGAATTTCGGCCCGAATTCCAGGCAGAGCAAATGTGTAGTCACGTTTCAGGAATACCACTTTTACTTTCAGATTTTGAAGAAAACAATTTCTAGCCCATCACAATCGTGAATTATTCGTCGCGCCAATTTTGTAGACGCTGTAAATTATAACAGCGTTAGGCTAATATTAATATACTGTAAGAGCCTTCTGCTGCGTTTAACTACATTCTGTTACAAAAGAAACACTACTTAGTATCACAGGCGACTTCCTTCTTTATCCTTCCAGCGCCAGTTCAGCGAGGCGAGTTTAATTAAATAAGAATCTCGAGAATTTATGTAATGCTATGCTTCTGTATTTTCTTTTCGCTCCAGCGGCAGTTTTTCTAAAGTGTCAACATTTATCGACGTTAAGACTACAATTTTTTGTTAAAGAGGTACGCTCAAAGCAAGCTACTGCTGCAAAAATTTGCCACTTTTATCAAAAAACAAGTGGTGAAAATTAAAATGCGCCGTTTTTGCATAATTGAAGTAAATTTTTGTTTCGGTTTTATAATTTTTTGTTTCTTTGAATTTTTCGCTTCATCAATTTTCCAACTCGAATGTTTTCAATTTTTCATTTTTTTGTCTCTTCAATTCTTAAATTTTCTAATGTTTCAACTTACAATTTCACGAGTTTTCGATTTTTTAATTTTTTCAAATTTTCCTTTCTTCAGTTTTACCATATGCAACTCTTCGAGTTTTCATTTTAAAATTTTTCAGTTTTTCAATTTTCAAACTTTTGGACGTTTCAGTTTTAAGATTTTGCAATTTTTCGATTTGCAGTTTCACGAGTTTTCAATTTTTAATTTTTCAGTTGTTCGATTTTCCAGCTTTTCATTTCTACATTTTTCGATTTGCAAATTTACGGTTATTAATTTTTTTATTTTTTCAATTTTTCTGTTTTTATCATTTTTTTTTCTTTTTCAAAGTGAAATTTTTCAGTCGATATTTAGTTTTCTAATTTTTCGATCTTTCAATATTACAATTTTGACTATTCTATAATTTTCCGATTTTGTAATTTTTCGTTTTTTCAATTTTTTGATTTCTCAATTTTTCGATGTTTTAGTTTTTCGAGTTTTAATTTTTCGATTTTTCAGTTTTTCAGTTTACAACTTTTCGAGACAAAAAATAGAAAAATTGCAAAACTGTAAAATTGAAAACTCAAAAATGAAAAAACGCAAAAGCATTAAATGAAAACTTTGAAAAATCTAAAAAACTGCGAATGGAAAACTCGAAAATTTAAGAACCCAAATATTATAAAACCGAAATATTGAAAATTAAAGAAATCGGAAAATTGCATAATTGAGAAATCGAAAAATTACAAATATTTTCAATTTTTAATTTTTCAGTTTTGTGATTTTTCAATTTATCATTTCTCCAATTTTTGATTTGCAAATTTTCGTTTCGGTTATTTATTTTCTTTATTTTTTCAATTTTTCCAGTTTTTCAGTCTCTCGATTTTAAAATTTTTCTTTCTTTTTCAAAGTGCAATTTTTCAATTTGTCGGTTTTCAACTCTTCGATTTTTCAACTTTTAATTTTTCGTTGCATTCGTTCTCGTCACTTTTTCAGTTTTACGATTTTACATTTTTTTCGATTTTGTAGTTTTTCGTTTTTTCAGTTTTTGAAATATTGAAAATTAAAAAAATCCCGAAAATTGTATAACTGAGAAACCCAAAAATTGCAATTTTTCGATTTTCAAACTTTTGGGTGTTTTAGTTTTTAGACTTTCGCAAATTTTCAACTTTTAATTTTTCAATTTGTCGATTTCTCTATTTATCATTTCTTCAATTTTTCGAGTTACAAATTTTCGGTTATTTTTTTGCTTTATTTTTTCAATTTTTGGGTTTTTTAGTATCTTGATTTTATTATTTTTCTTTCTTTTCCAATGTGAAATTTTTCAATTTGTGGATTTTCCACTTTTTCGATTTTTCAATTCTTAGACTTTTTAATTTCTCGATTTTCAATTTAAAATTTTTAAGTTTCTCAGTTTTTCAATTTTTCGTTTCATTCGTTGTCACTTTTTCAATTTATTTTAGCATTTTAGAATTTTTCAATTTTTGATTTTAATTTTTCGATTTTTAATTTTTCAATTTCTCGATATTTAATTTTTCGATTTTACAATTTTTGGGTTTTCAGATTTTTCGATTCGATTCTTTTTTCTTCGTTCCAGGTTTTCAAATCATTCATTTTTTCAATTTTGAAGTTCTACACGTTTCTAGTTTTTCTATTTCAATTTTTTGTAATTCTGTTTGCAATTTTCCGATTTTCCACTTTTTCAGTTTTCCGATATTTCAATTTTTTCCGATATTTTAGTTTTTGGAGTCCTAATTTTTAGATTTTTCAGTTTTTCAACTTTGGAAACAAAAAAATGGAAACATCAAAAATGAAAAAACGAAAAAGCGTTAAATGAAAACTCTGAAAAATCTAAAAAACTTGAGACTTGATGAACCGAAAAATTGAAAAACCGAAAGATTAAAAATTGAGAAATTTATAAATAGAAAAAGTACAAAATTGAAAAACCGAAATATTGTAAAACCGAAATATTGAAAATTGAGAAATCCTAAAATTGCGAGATTTTCAAAATTTTCAGTTTTTCGATTTTCAAATTTTCGAATGTTTTAGTTTCTAGACTCTGCAATTTTTCGATTTGCAATTTCACAAATTCTTATTTTTTAATTTCTCAATTTTTCGATTTAATAAAGTTTTGTTTTATTTTTTCAATTTTTCGGTTTTTCAGTATCTTGATTTTTCAATTTCTGGATTTTCCAATTTTTCGGTTTTCAATTTTTAGACTTTTCAATTTTTCGTTTTTTTTAATTTTAACTTTTTTAGTTTCCCAGTTTTTTAATTTTAACTTTTTTAGTTTCCCAGTTTTTTAATTTTTCGTTTCATTTATCATTTTTTTAATTTATTTTACCATTCTAGAATTTTTCAATTTTTAATTTTAATTTTTCCAGTTTTAATTTTTGAATTTCTCGATATTTAATTTTTCAGTTATTCGATCGTTCAATGTTACAGTTTTTCGACTTTACAATTTTGACGATTCCATAATTTTTCGATTTTACAATTTTTGGGTTTTCCGATTTTTCGATTCGATTTTTTTTTCTTTTCAGTTTTTCGATTCATTCATTTTTTCAATTTTAAAGTTCCTCGTTTTTGGTTTTTGTATCAATTTTTCGTTCTTCGTTTGCAATTTGTGTTTTTCAGTTTTTCGATTTATTAATTTTTTTCCGATGTTTTAGTTTTTCGAGTTTTAATTTTCCGACCTTTTAGTTTTTCAATTTTTCACTTTTCGAAACAAAAAATGGAAAAATTACAAACATGTAAAAAAAACAAAAATGAAAAAATAAAAAAGCATTGAATGAAAATTTTGAAAAATAAAAAGCTGGAAACGCAGAACTTGAAAATTTAAGAACCAAAAATTGAAAAATCGAAAGATTAAATATTGAGAAACTTCAACATAGAAAAAGTGCAAAATGGAAAAACCGTAATATTGTAAAATCGAAATATTGAAAATTAAAAAATCCCGAAAATTGTATAAATGAGAAGTCCAAAAATTGCAAATTTTTCGATTTTTCAATTCATCATTTCTTCAATTTCTCGATTTAAAAATTTTTGTTTCGGTTATTTTTTCCTTTATTTTATCAATTTTTCGATTTTTCAGTATCTTGGTTTTATCATTTTTCTTTCTTTTTCAATGTGAATTTTTCGGTTTTCAATTTTTTTCATTTCATTCATTAATTCTTTAATTTTAAAGTTCCTCGTTTTTAGTTTTTGTTTCAATTTTTCGTTCTTGGTTTGCAATTTTTGTTTTTTCAGTTTTTCGATTTTTTAAATTTTTTGATTTTTCAGTTTTTCAATTTTTCAACTTTTCGAAACAAAAAGTGAAAAAAGTGCAAAACTAAAATTGAAAAATGAAAAAATAGAAAGAATAAAAATTGAGAAACTTAAAAATCGAATAAGTGCGAAATTCAAAAACCGAAATATTGTAAAATCGAAATTTTGAAAATTAACGAAATCGAAAAATTGGAAAATCCTGGAATTGAAAAATCAGTGTATGACAATTTGAAATGTGGAATAAACAAAAAATTATAAAATCGAAGAACATTGAAAAAACAAGGAAATGAAAAAACGAAAAATTGTTATATAAAATCGAGAAAATCAAAATGAAAAAAAATCAAAAACTTGAAGAATTGAGGAAACGAAAAATTGAAAAATGGAGAAATTAATAATTGGAAAGGTGAACAATTGAAAAAATTGAAAACTTTAATAAAATGGTACTCGAGAAATTGAACAATTAAAAAAATATATTGAAAAAGAGAAATTATAAAACCGTACTATTGAAAAATTTGAAAATTGAAAAAAAAAAGAAAATGTAGAAACGAAAAATTGTAAAATCAGAAAAAAAATTCAAAATCGAGAAAATGAAAAATGGTAAACTAAGAACTTGAGGAATTGAAGAACTGAAAAAATGAAAAAGCATTAAATGAAAACTTTGAAAAACCTAAAAAACTGGAAATAAAGAACTTGAAAATTTAAGAGCCGAAAAATTGAAAAATCGAAAGATTTTGAAAATTAGCGGAGTCGGAAAT